GCCGGGGTCACTCCCAGGACCGGCCGGGGTCACCGTACCACTCCCCAAAGGTCAGAAACGCTCCTCTAAATGCTCCAGCGTACACTGAGATGTTTCCAATCGTTGCTCGTAGCTCAAACTGCACCAAATCGTAGGGGTCAAAGGTCACAGCTGTTCTCACTATAAGACCCGATATGAGATCTGAACTCACATCGTACGGCCAAAAACGCACGTCGGACTTGAAATAGAAGATATTTCTAAGATATAATAGAAGATCCTCTAAAGCCGGCGTACACCAGGGACGTCCCGATCCGGCTTTTTTTTTCTTCAAATCTAATCCGATCCCGGCCTATCAGAGCATGTATTAAAGTCTAAAGTTATTTATCTTCTTACTTAGTTGTCAGACTCATGTTGAACAGGGATTTACTCTGATAACAACTTAATGGTTAGGACACAGACCTTTGGGTTACAGATGCTAATGCTAATGCTAATGCTCGTGTGGGATCGGACTTTAAAAAAAAAAAAACTGAATTTTACATCCTTTGGCTTTTTGATTCCATTCCCTCCTTGGACTCCTCAGCCTCTGTAAGAGTTGTGTTTCCCCTGGAAAAGATGTGTCCCTGAAGGCAGCACAGGTTGCTCTACAGTCTCAGAGGAGGCTCTTCCTGTTCCACTTCCCAAATCAAAGATCTGAGTCCTGGGTGTTCAGAGCAAAACGGCTCAGGCCGGAGACCCGGACCAGGCCTCCCAAAGGCTTCGTCCTGCTCAGGAAAGTCTGAAAGCAACTCCGTTTTCTGTTGTTTTACGCTCAGGAATGTCACCAGATTTCTGCGTTTAAGAGGGAGGATTTTATCTTTATACGTTTCTTCTGCTGCTCGTCACATGTCCTGACCCAGAAAACTCAGAAAACTCCCTCTGAAGGAGGTTTTAGGCCCCAAAAATACATTTCTGTGTGGCTAAAAGTGTCTGTTTGTCTCTGCAAACCCCTCCTGAGTAACGGTGTTTCTGCCTGGGCAGCAGATCTATGAGACGGCCAGAGAGTGGACGGACGGCCCTCCGGCCGCCGGCCCCCTGGAGGACGTCCACCAGCACGCCGCCGGCCTCCAGAACGGCTCCAGCGGAGCGGTGGGGGCCCCCCCCCCCCCCCGTTTGAGCCCTCTGGCTCCGGTTTGGGACCGGAGGTGTTAGCGTCCAGACACTGAGCCAACAGCTTTAGCGTCTTCATTTCTTTATTATTCTTTATTTCTGCTTCATGCTGTTGGAATTCAATCAATCAATCAATCAATCAATCAATGTTTATTTATATAGCACTTTACAACAATCGGAGCTGATCAATTGTCACTTTAAATAATCGCTCACTCCTTTAGTTGTTTATTTTCTCTTTGTATCACAGCAGTTTCCCATGAAGTTTCTGTTTCTGCATTTAGACGCTTTTTATCCAAAGCAACTCTTAAAGTAGACCCAGAGTTCCAACTCTCATCCGTCTGACTATCAGTTCTCTGGAGGAAAAACCCCAGTCAGAGTCAGAGGAGACAGGGGGAGAGAGAGGGAAGTCCAGAAAGAGGAGTAGAGGGCCTGGAGGAGTTAGGATAGGAGCTGCTCTGTGGAGAGAAGGCTGGTACTGATCCGATATCTGGATCGGATTGGCCGGCAGGAGAAAATGCAGATCCAGACTCCAGATCCATTTTTTTTGTTTAAAAAAAGTTAGATGCGTGTTTTCCAGCGCACCGATTAATATAATCCATTCCCCTTTGCTGTGTTTTTCCCAAATATCCAGTCGTTTTCCAGCACACCTTTAAGGATAAGCATTAGCATTAGCATCTGTA